CAAAGATAAAGTTTTTATTATTCAGGTTGATAGAATTATTTGCATGTCCTCTGAATAGAAGGATAAAATTATTTAGAAATGAGAACTATGTGCTTACACTGTACATTTTGCTCTATCTGTATGTATGTATAACCATGATTATGGAAATAAAATAGTTTGCAGAGTRAATTGCTAAGCCTAAAGAGTTAAAAAAAAAAAAAAAAAGATTGCAAGATGACATTTCACCAAGTTTGAAGAATGAAAAGAAATAAGGCCCWGGCCCTGGAGGGGGGCGCTGTTGAGTTCTAGCTGTCCTGGGCCTGGATTATGGTCTTGGTGCACAGAGGGCCCTTGACCTCCCCTGATTTCAGCTCCTTCATCTGTAAAATAAAAGCAATGATTATAAAACCCTCACACAGTTGTTAACCGGGCTCAGGGAAGTAAGTGAATCTGTCATCCACTGTGTCTGGAGGTAACCTTTGACATCCCTGTGCCCCCTGACTTCTGGTCTTCATTTAAATGCCCCACCCCATTTCACATTGTCACCTCCACCTGGGTTTCAGTCCAGCTTCTCGTTGCACAGCAAACGCAGCTGCACCTTTGGTCCTCTGCCCTGCTGCTGCCCAGTGCCACCCCAGCGCTCCTGAGCGTTGCCTGGGGTCCTGTTCCCATTGCAGGCCGGTGGCACTTGACTTCTGTTTTTGCTGTGGCTGGGGAAGTCAGGGCCCATCCAAGGGTGAGAGCTTGCAGCTGCAGCCGGAGGTCACCACAGCCCTTCAGCCCTCTGCATTAGGCTGCCTGTTGGGGCCCCTTTTGATCGTGTTCCCTTCCCTTTCCTGTTGGTTGTCACCTTTGCATTAGTGTGACACAACACCTGGGAAAATCAACTTAAGGGAGGAAATATATATTTTGGCTTGTGATTTCAGAGGTTTCCGTCCAGGGTCAGCTGGCTCCGCTCCGTAGCTTGGGCCRGAGACCTGGCAGAACATCATGGCAGCGGGTGTGTGGTGGGGCAAAGCTGCTGGCCTCGTGGTGACCAGGAAGGGGAGAGCRAGGTCCAGGAAGGGGCTGGGGACAAGCATGCCTTTCAAAGGCCTGCTCCCAGGGACCTTCTTCTCCAACKAGGTCCCTCCTCCTCGTTCCATCACTTCCCAATAGTCCACTCAGCTGTAAATCCATCAATGGACTAACCCACGGATGAGGTCAGAGCTCTCCTGAACCAGTCACCTCCCAAGGACCCACCTCTGACCCCTGCTGCACTGGGSACCAAGCCTGTAATCCCTGAACTTTTGGGGACACGTCAGAGCCAAACCATAACAGGTTCCAATGTCCCCGGTGATCCTGTGGATTACTGTCAATAATCCTCACAGAGACCTTTGCATTCCCAAAGAGGGCGCCTGGRAACTCCTCATGCTGCCAGAACGTGACAGGGATGCACTGCCTCTCTGTGGACCCAGGGTCAGGTCCTCTGTGGCAGCCGTAAACTCCAGGGCAGTTTTCCAGTTGTGGCTTTTGCCCTGCCTCTGCCTGTGCCACGGTGACTTGTGTTGACCTTGGTGGCTGTAAGGAGCACGCGTGATTGTTACTCATCTCCATGGCAGAGTGACAGGTGTGACAGGACGTGACTAAAGTCTTGCCCTGCCCTCCACYTATGGGCAAGGGCCCAGGGTCCAGGAGCACCAAGGAAATTTCCTCTTGCTCTGATGGGTCTGGTGCAATGTCTCCTGGGAATTCTGAAAGCTGAAAAGCAAATGGTGGAGCAAAGCCAGCCCGCAGCTGCAGAGGCCAGCTGCCCCCGCACAGTGCCACCCAGGAGCCTTGCCCTCCCCTGGAGCTGTTTCCTGCTGAGTGGCTCCCTGCCCAGGCTCATCCCTCAGACCCGTGAGCATCGCTGCCAGCAGTGCCCTGTCAGTGTCCTGACCCCCACAACTCCCAGAAAATGCYCAGAATTGCCTGTCAGTGGACTGGCTTGGGGCAGTCAGTGTGGCCTGGGAGATGAAGGGGTGGAGAGGACCAGGCAGGAAGCTGGATGTTGGCGGGGAGAGGGTGTCACGTGAACTAAAGGGGTCTCCCCCGGGAAAATCAAGATGTCCCTCTCAGGGAAGGAGAGATCATATCTTCAGCAGATGTTTGTGCCAGCTATCCATTAGAGGGACAGCTAGAGAGAGAAGGTGGGAGAGAGAGAGAGAGGGGTGGGGGGTTAGGAAAGCCACTAACACAGGCATAAAAGAAAAAAAAAAAGGTGACTTTTTAAAAAATTAAAAAATTTGTCTTGATTAGTTCTACATGACAGTAGAATGCATTTATGCACTTTGATATACATAGATGGGATATAGTTTCTCATTTTTCTGAGTGCACATGTTGCAGAATCCTATTGGTCATGCAGTCACATATATGCATACAGTAATAATATCTGTTTCCTTCTACTGTCCTTCCTGTCCCCACATCCCCTCCCCTCCCCTCCCATCACTTCGCTCTATGACATTCGCCTTATATGAATCAGCATCTGCAAATTAGAGAAAACATTCAGCCTTTGGTTTTGTGGGATTGGCTTATTTTGCTTAGCATGATATTCTCCAACTCCAACCATTTACTGGAAAATGCCGTTATTTTTCTCTTCTTTAAAGCCGAGTAATATTTCATTGAAAAAAAATCACACACACACACACACACACACCTCATTTTACCAACCTAGGTGTCCCTCAATAGATGAATGGATAAAAAGGTGACTTTTTAAAAATAATCAAGAAGCAATAATTACACTGAGGTTTATAGCAGCACTATTCATTCACAATAACCAAGTGGCRGRAATAACCCCYAKGTCCATCAACAGATGAATGCACAAACCAAAACTGATATACACCTACTGTGGGATATTATGCACTTACAAAAAAGCAGTGAAATCTTGACATGTGCTACAACGTGGCAGAGCCTTGAGGATATTATTAAAGAAAATAAGCCAGACCAGAAAGGGAACACGCTGTGATTCCACCTCCGTCATTTTCCTGGGCAGTCAGACTCGTGGAGACAGAAGGTACCGTGGTGGCTTCCAGATCCTCGGAAAGGGGCAAATGGGAAGCTGTTGTTGAGTGGTACAGAATTTTAGTTTTACAAGATGGAAGAGTTCTGGRGGTGGTGGCTGCTTAACAATATGGACATAGTCAGTGAGACTTAAAAATGGTGAGAATAGTACACTTTATGTTAGGTCTATTTTACCAAAATAAAATATTACGAGAGAAAAATCATTATAATTGAGTCTGGGAGGAAGGATGCCCTTTYCCCCCAGGCCTCTTGATAAATACTTGGTTTCAAAGTTTCCCAGGGCTTTGTTCTGAACACAAAAGAGGTCAGTAAGAACTTGCTGGATACAGCATTAAAGCAACTGGAGATATTCCAGCCCCATCCCCAGGGCAGAAGTAATTTTTGAACCAACATTGAGACTATCATCTCCAGCGTGCCAGGTCACACCCTGAATGCCTAGGTCTGTTCAGGGACCCTGGCAGTGTCTTAGAGAGGCTTTGATAATCAGTATGTGGATGTCAGAAAGAGGAGACTTCCCCCCAAGATTGCAAATCACTTTCTGTTCTCAACCAGTTTTGCCCACCGCCCCCTCCCCCACAGCCACCCCAGAGGATATCAGGCAGTGTCCAGAGGGGGTGGTGGAGGGTGCTACTGGTATCTTGTGGAYAGAGGCCAGAGATGCAGTCAAACAAGCTACATTGCACAGAACCATCCCCACAATAGAGCTATTCAGTCCTAAATAGTGATAGTGTGTGGGGGGCTGAGCCCCAGCCTGGGAAGTCCTCTTACACATCCAAGGGCTTAACCCGCCCCAACCCCCCCCCCCCTGGCCACTCTCTCTCTCTTACCTATACCCTCCTCAGTCCCTGGTTTTATTATGTTTTAATGAATCACAAGAAGTTTACACACTTCTAAAATTAGCCTCTTGCTCAATATCCTTTAAAGCAAATGGCCATGTCATAAACATGCCTTGGATTTGATTCTGTGCCTGGGATTCTGCATACTAGGTCAGAGAGAGGTAGAGGGAGGAAGAGAGGGGCATCAGGGTGCAATGCCCCCTCTTTCTGCAGGGCCCCAGGAACCATCCTGACCTCAACAGACATTTAAATGTCAATCAGCCAGTTAAGTCTGGCACACAGACCACCCAAGGTAAGGAAGGGGATGGTGTATTGTTTGAAAAACTATGTCTAATTTAATATACAACTTCAATAATAATAACAATAACAATAACAACAACAACAACAACAACAACTATGCTTAATATAATCACACAGTTTTGTTTTGAAATAAAACTGAGCAAATCATTGGCATTTGGTGTTTCTCAAGAGGTGCCCCCCACACACTTAAGGCATGATGCAGAGAGACACACTGGATCAGAATCAGAAGTTAAATTTTCCATTTAATTGACAAAAATGTTCTTTTAAAGGTTTTATACAAAGCCAGCTTCTGTTTGGATGAGTTAGTCGTTTTTAAAGTCACCCAATGGTCCTGGTAGCTCTTCCACTCTCAGTTTAAACACAGGTCTAGCCAGGCCCAGTGGTGTGACCTGTCATGCCAACTGCTCAAGAGGCCGAAGCAGTAGGATTCCAAGTTTGGGCCAGCCCAGGAAACTTGTGACACCCTATCTCAGAATACAAAAGCTTCTTGGGCACGGCGGTGCATGCAGATAATCCTAGCGGCTCAGAAGGCTGAGGCAGGAGGATCACAAGTTCAAAGCCAGCCTCAGCAATTTAGTGAGGCCCTAAGCAGCTCAGCGAGACCCTGTCTCAAAATAAAATGTAAAAAGGGCTGAGGATGTGGTTCAGTGGTCAAGCCCCCTTGGGTTCAATCCCTAAAACAAAACAACAATCAACAATCATTCTGTTTGGTTTTCCCTAAGTTCTTCATAAAATTTATAGACTCTTACTCCAATAAAAACAAACAAAAAACTAAAACAAAAATAAAGATATTAAGACTGAACATTTACTCCCCTCATCCCATTTATCAAATCTTTCTTATCCCTTAGGTAGTCAAGATATCTTTTCTCCAATAATTGGGGTAAAATACTGCTCTGAGCTTTTGAGAAAAGCATAATTTTTCTCATTTGCATAAATTATTTRTTTTCTGAAGAAGAGAGAAATATTTGGTGAAAGGGAAGGGAGAGAATAAAAGAGATTTCGTGAAGGTCCTTAATTAARGCCAAGATTGGTTTCTTAACTCTGTCCCAGGATTGCATCTTTGTCATACAAAAGCCTATTTTCACACCCACACAAATACTGTAGTTTACTCCTGATCTTTGGGGATAGTTCCGAGACACCCAGTGGCTGCCTAGAACCATTCCTAGTACCAAACCCTAAATTTTACCCTATTTTTTTTCTTATATATACCTATCTATGAAGGTTGAATTTGGGATTCTCTTCTGAGGTGCCATAAATACACCTATGGATTTCCTCTTGATTGGGTCCAGAAGAATAGAAGAGATCTTTTTCTAAGGACAGACTGGTAGTTTTATTTTTAACTTTTTATTGAGGTACAACACCCACAGGAAAGCATATAAATTGTAGCAGCTTAATGCAAGGTGAACCCTCCCCTGCAGCCAGCACCCACCCCCATGAGATACAGAGGACAGCACCCTAAAGGTCTCCATGTGCCTGGTCCCAGGACTACCCCAAAGCTGGTGGGATGGTGCTTCGCTTAGTTTTGAACTTCGTGGTCCCCGGTGTGTTCTCTTGTGTCTGGCTTCTTGTGCTCTGTGTTTATAAGGTTCATCAATTCAACCTGCACACGGATTTTCATTTCCCCTGATGCTTCTTTCTTGGTCCCTGTAAAGACGTTGTAATCTTATGTGTCATCTGTCAATTATTCCTCAATTGAGCTGTTAAAAAATGATCATATCTCAGGGCTGGGGTTGTGGTGTTAGACCAGGACGCAAGAAAAGACCACTGACTCCAATTAAAATCAAATTAAAGCAAGCTTATTATTTCGACCGGC